AATCCCACATTTATTAGCAGTCACTTTCTATTGTCCTCAATCATTGGCAACCACTTTCTATCTCTCTAGGTTTGCCTATTCTGGACATTTTATATAAATGGAATCATACAGTATGTGGCCTTTTGTGACTGGCTTCTTTCACTTAGCATAATGTTTTCAAGGTTCATTCATGATGTTGCATATATCGGTACTTCATTCTTTTTTATTGCTGAACAATATTCCACTATATATCACAGCCTGTTTATCCACTCATCGGTTGATGAGCATTTGTGTTGTTTCCACTTTTTAGCTATTATGAATGATGCTGCTATGAACATTACTGTGTAAGTTTTTGTGTGAACATGCTTCCAATTCTCTTGTGAGAACTAGGAGTGGAATTGCTGGGTCAATAAATGTTGACTTTATGCTTAACTTTGTGTGTGTTGTTTCTTAAATATGTTTGTATTGATTTTAGAGAGAGGAAGGGTGAGGGATAGAGAGAGAAACATTGATTGGCTGCCTCCTGCATTCCCCCTTCTGGGGATTGAGCCCGAAACCCGGGCATTTGCCTTGACTGGGAATTGAACCAGCAACCTCTTGGTTCAGGGTTGACGCTCAGCCACTGAGCATCACTGGCTGGGCATTATGTATAACTTTTTGAGGAACTGCCAAGCTCTTTTCTAAAGAAGGTACCCCATTTTACATTTTCTTCTTTTTAAAAAAATGTTTTAAAATTGATTTTAGAGAGAGAGGAAGAGTGAGGGGGGCGTGAGAAACATTAACTGGTTGCCTCCCATATGCACCCTGACCAGGGATCAAACTCAAAACCTGGGTATGTGCCCTGACCGGGACTCAAACTGGTGACCCCAACACTTAACCAATTGAGCCACACCAGCCAGGGCCATTTTACATTTTCACCAGTAATAATAAGGGCTCCAATTTCTTCATATACTAGCCAGCATTTGTTACTGTTCTTTTTTATGATAGCCATCCTAGTGGGCATGCAGTGATATCTCATTGTGGTTTTGATGTGCATTTTCCTGCTGGCCAATGATGTTGAACATCTTTCCATGTGCTTATTGGCCTCATATATCTGTTTTGGAGAACTGTCTATTCAATTCCTTTGTATTTGGTAACTGGAGTGCTTTTAGTATTAAGTTCTATCACTTTGCTTTTGTACTTGTAATTTTTTATTTTGTACATTGTTATTTGAGATATAATTCATATAACATAACATTCACCATTTAATCTCTACTACCTTTTTGTTATTGTTAATCCTCACCTGAGGATATTTTTTTCCATTGATTTTTAGAGAGAGTGGATGGGAGGGAGGGAGGGAGGGAGGAAGGGAGAGAGAGAGAGAGAAACACTGATGTGAGACACATTGATTGGTTTCCTCCCCCATGTGCTTGGACCAGGGCCAGGGATTGAATTTGCAACCCAGGTACATGCCCTTGACCAGGAATTGAACCTAAGACCCTAAGGTGCATGGGCAGACCCTCTAACCACTGAGCCCCACGGACCAATGTGTTCTATTATTTTTAACAAAGGTAATTCAAACCTAAGTTTTATGGGGATTTCATTAAGCAAATAGTACAAAAACATGCCAACCTATACAAAAATATTCCTGACCCACCATTTTTTTTTTTTTCAGACTATAAGAGAAAGTTACTGAGAAAGTCACAGAGGCAGAAGTGAGCTGTAGAAGAAATGGGCTCAGGAAACAAGGTAACAGGCAAAAGAGGGCCCTTGGAGCTTGGGGAAAGAGATACAGAGCAAGAGGCAAGGAAACCGGGCCTGGGGGAAGGAGGTGGGGAAAGGCATACTGTTCCATAGAGAAAGCGGGCTGGGTCCTAGGTCCCACAGGCTTTTCAGGGCCGGAATTTTAGGGGAGCTCCCAGGGGAGGATCTCAATAGACTATTCAGCAGCTTTCCAGTGTTGTGGTTTCTACTGATTGGTCGGTCACTAGTCAATGCAGCTTGACCCACCATTCATCGAACAGGTGGCAGTTATTTTTCCAATAAGTAATATCAGATTTTTTAAAAATGGCTCTATTTATACTCCTGTCCATATGCCAATGACGACATTTTCAAGAGATTAGAGAGGTACTTCTGGAGCCAAGAAACAGGACTTCACTCTCAATATACTGACATGGAAACAATCTGTTATCTGAACTCAGTGTAATGTTCCAAACGGGCCCCTTCACATGATCTGGAACTACCAAGATGCAATCAAAATGGAAAAGAAAGAAAAGGCAAGTACAGTTCCAGCTACTCTACAGAGGAGTTACGCCCTGCCTCCAATAATTAGTTCATAGGTCCTTCAGTTTGGGCCAGTCAAAATGAATACCTGTTTTTGCATTCAAGACAATATTTTAAAAAGGTTAATGCAGCTAAATTTCACCTTTCTATTTTCAAACTGCACCTACAACACTGGGATATGGGAGAGTAGGAGTGCCTGGGCTCTTAAGACTCTTCAAACCAAAATCCATCCCAATCTTCGGCACCTGTTCCTATTCTTAGAGTTACTTTATTTTTATTATATTTTATTGATTTTTTACAGAGAGGAAGGGAGAGTAGGATAGAGAGTTGGAAAAGTCGATCAGCTGCCTCCTGCACACTCCCTACTGGGTGTGTGCCCGCAACCAAGGTACATGCCCTTGACTGGAATCGAACCTGGGACCCTTCAGTCTGCAGGCCGATGCTCTATCCACTGAGCCAAACCGGTCAGGACTAGAGGCCAGTCTTCCACGCGTTTGTGATTTCACAGCTGGTAAAACACCCAGCTCAGTCAGGCCCTCTCCGAGGCCTTCCTGGGTTCTCTCAGTTTGCAGGCGTTACAAGAGGTCCTGGGGTCATCCTTTCACTCCTGAATAAGCGTGTGCCTGTTCCACCCTCATCACTCCGAGGTCCATCCACAAGGAGAGCAACGGAATCACATTCACTTTTATTTTTCTTTCCTTTTTTAAAAAATTTTTATTTTAGTGAGCGAGAGGAAGGGGGAGAATGAGAGAGAGAGAAGGAGAGAAGAGGAATAGCCATATGTTGCTCCACTTATTTACACACTCATCGGTTGATTCCTGTCTGAGCCCTGATCCAGAAGGAGCCCGCAACCATGTCAGGCCGCGCTCTAACGGACTGAGCTACCTGGCCAGATCCCACCGCATTTTCTCCAGAGCTCAGCCCGGTGCCTGGCACACAGCGGGCCTTCAGCAGGCTCTTGTGTTTGTTGTTTTGCTTTCTAAATATATAAGAAACATCAATGAGATCAATCATTGATCGGCTGCCTCCTGCACGCCCCCC